AGTGACTGACACACTAGAGCACAAAAAATAATGGTAACATTGAATGGAATTTATTACCACAAGAAATTATTCTTAAGAGGACTCATGAATTATTGTGTACTGATTTCTAGAGGTTTTTGAAGGATTTTAGAGATCTTTGGACAATATGTAATCATGACTGGGGAGGTCATTTATTTATGAAACTGTTATTAACTGATTTTATCTATTAAAAAGAATATTGGAGTTGTTTTAATTTGAAGCCATCTCACTGTATTTAACAAAGTGACAGTCAAGTAACAGTGTAGCTGTAAGCCCCAGAAAGACATAAGTGCCTACTAACATGTTTCTGTTTTTATTTCCTTTGCTGGTTATTTCCGTATCTCTGAATAATATTTTTATGACTACTTCTCAACTTTGCACATTTTACGTTGGTTTCCTTCCATAACAGATAAATACGTAGGTTGTGCACATCATCCTCTCTTCTCTCTTTCTAATGGGATCCTATATTTGTTTTTCATATGTTTGAAAATTACCTTTATAACATTAAACATTATATTTATAACATTTTTCCTAGTTTCCCTACTCTTATCTTCAGTTCTTCTTTCCTGTCCCTTTTCTCTAGTTCTTTTTCACAAAGTTCTATTTTAATAGTTCCCTGAAATGACCTTTCACTGAATATTATGGTCTTGCCTGTACCAACATTAACTTGTGACCTCTTGCCTTTATAAAAAACATGTCTTCTCCCTTAACTACCCTGAGTTTCTACTACTGTGGTTTTCCTTCTTCCCACGACTTTTCTTTCCCCTCTCCTACTATTGTTTCTCTATCTCCAATTTTTGCACTTCTTCCTCTTTCTATATCCAACTCAAAAGTTGTTTTCTACAGCTCAGGTATTAAAATTTTACTCTTCTCTATATACCCTGGGAGCCGTAATCTATTACTAGGGCTTAAAATTTCAATTCTTTGTAAATATTTCAAACTGTATATCCCTAGACTATTTTCTTATTCTAACTCTTGTCTGTTATCTCCTATATTAAACAATTTCTAAGCTCCACGAGATCAGAAAAAAATGAACTTGAGATTTAAATCCGCCATTAACTAATACTGGGGTCATTTCTGTTATTTGGGTAAAGTCATCTGCAAATGAGAAACATAGTACCTAATCTAAACATTATAACAAATTGTTCTTAGGTTCAAATATGAAAAAAGATGTGAAAGTGTTTTATAAATGGCAAATTATTATACAAATGTAAGACTTTATTACTGCTATTACTGCCTTATGCTTTCGTTTATATTACTCCCCTTTTTTCTTGCAATTGGTTTCTCCTTCTGCAGTTGTATTCTTCAAAGCTCAACTTTCCCTCAAAACACTGTAACACTTATATTGCTTTCTATTTATTGTTTTCATATTAATATTGTGTTCCAATTCTTTCTAACTACTGTAACACTCAGAGTATTGTTCTGCATGTAAATGTTAACAACTATTTGTTGACTGATTAACTTAAAATTTTGTATTAAGTTGAAAGTTTATATTAGAAATTCTATCGTATTTAGGATAATTATCAATCATGTGTCAAACACTGTTCAAACCAATGAAGATATAAATATCATGTCTATTTCTTTCAAAGAACTTAAAGATCTACTCTAGGTAATGAAAACGCCAGCAGCTTTTTGTTTTAGTTGTCCTTTCTAAAGAAAGTATCCTTCCCTGAAAATAGGAACATTCAATATATTACATAAAACCAAGAAGCTTCTCATTCTTTGCTCATCTATGTAATTTACTCAGTTACTATTATGATTATGCATTGTATATATATTCTGCTAAAAAGTAAGCCACATGATGATAAAAATCTTTAATTTGTTTACTGATATATTTAAAATTCCCAAGAATGTGGAACTCAATATTTATTTAAAAAGTGAATGTGACATTTGTTAGAGAACCACCAAAAGATGAATGAAGGAATTTCTCGGCAGTTGTATAAACACAGCTGTCACTAGATAATATGAAATTTAAGTATGTCCAGTTCATAGATTACTTATTCATACCACAAAGGTGAAGTAAAATTTCAGCTGGGTTATAAAAGATGAGCAAAATTTTGACAGAGGCAATGGAGAAGTTTATATGCAAAAACAACCAGTTAGTTAAAAGCAGAACTGGGCTGTGATATTACATTATGAGATGCCATATTACAATATGATTATGAAGGATGAAACTAAGTAAAGGAGAAAACAATTTACAGCTGAGAAGCTAGTCAAAGTGGATGATGGGAGAAACAAAGAGTTGGCAAGTGGTGTGATAAGCATGATGACAGGCTAAGGGAAATAAAAGCAACATAGAATATGTGATGCCTCTTCACAACACTTTTTTTTCTTAGAAAAATACTATTTATTTCTTAGCCTACTTTTCGATGGGTTTATTTGTTTTGTTTTGTTTTTTTTCTTGTTGATTTGAGTTTGTTGTAGATTCTGGACATTATTTATTTGCCATGTACATAGATTATGAAGATTTTTTTCCCACTCTGTGGGTTTTCTGTTTACTCTGCTAACTGTTCCTTTTGCCATACAAAATCTCTTTAGTTTAATGAAGTCCCAGCTATTTATCTTTGTTTTTATTTCATTTGCTTTTGGGATCTTGGTCATGAAATGCTTGCCTAAGCCAATGTCTAGAAGGATATTTCCAATGTTATCTTCTGGAATGTTTATAGTCTCACAAATCACCACTAAACAACTTACTAATGTAACCAAATACCACCTGTTCCCCAATAACCTATGGAAATAAACATAAAATAAAATACAAAAATAAAGAAATACTAAATTATAAAATAGGTGGGAGGAAATGCTGGTTTGTTCTATGATAACTTTTTGTTTCATTTTTAAATTGCATGCACTTCACAAAGATTTTTTTTTTCCTATTACTTTAACTGTTTTACTGTGTTGCTACTTTGCTATGCCCAAGCATAGAAATGCCTTCATCACCCACCATGAGATTTGGTGTCTTCTTGTTGACTTCTAATTCTCAATAATAAATTCTAATTCCACACGTTGTCTTTCTTAGAAGATGTCTTATTTCCATAGGTATGTGCCATGGTGGTTTGCATGTTCTGCACAGGTACCCTAGAACTTAAAGTATAATAAATTTAATAAAAAAGACAGTCCTGGCTTGGTGGTTCACATCTGTAATCCCAGCACTTTGAGAGGCAGAGGTGGGTGGATTGTTTGACCCCAGGAGTTTGAGACCAGCCTGGGCAACACGGCAAGACCCTATCTCTATTAAAAATAGGATTTTTTTTTAAAAAAGAAAATGTCTTTTTAAAAAAGAAATATCTGTTGAAAAAAGAAATGCTCTAGAATATGACATTTCTAGTGCCTCTCCCTGATCACAATATACAGGTAGAAGTTATGCCACATATGTATTTGAGAATAAAACAAGCCAACATTTTGTTTCAATTATTTGGGATGCATAATGATGTAGAAAAAATACTCAACTGTGAATCAAGAGTGCCATAATAGACATATTTCTGAGAATCAAGAAATAGGAAAAGATAATTTATACAGGAGAAAATAAATATGAGGCAAAATCATGAAAAAATATTGGCCGTGGTTAGTAATCAAAGCAACCCCTAGAGATTATTTTGTACCTAGTAATGTGACTATTATACATCTATAAGTCTTATGTATAATAACTATATAAATACATAAAATATAATTTTTACATGTATATGTATGATATGTCTTACAACTGTTGAAGCTTCAGTGACAGCAGTACATTTATTCACTGCTGACTTCAGAAAGGGACCAATATAAACCAGCTTAACCTTCCTCTGGGCCTATATGGGAATATGTGAGAAGAGTCATAAATGGTAAAATAATATTTGACTCAATAATCCCACCCCTTAAAATATAATAAAAAATTTTCAAACAAACTTTATGCATAAAGAATATGATTGTAATACTGTCTATAAGAGAAAAACTTTGGTATAAATGTATAATATATAAAATTATGTATACTTATAAATTAATGTATAAAATATATAGGTATAATGTATAAAATTAAAGGGGGTGCTAGTAATATCTGAAACTGATTAGTATGCATTCATTGAAATAATAATGATGGAGCCTAGGGAAATAGAGGGACAAGTTTGTAATATAAGGCTAAAATAAATAAGCAAGGAAAAATACTATGGGATTGCAACTAAACAAAAAACTTCATGTTCATGGATAAAGAATATGCATTAATATGCAAATTTGAAAACAATTGTGTTAGTGTGATGGAATTTGGGGAGACTAGAAGATATTTTAAATATATTTTCATTTTTTACATTATATTTTTATTTTTAAAGTTCTAATCCATTAATGTAGTTGTGAAAGTTTAAGCTAATGGAGTTGCATTGCTGGGACTTGGTTCCTGTACAAACACTGATGCTTGGACTACCTTTCAGTACTTCTCACCCTTGAGAGTTCATTAAGATTATTCAGGGAGCTTGTTGAATGTGCATATTGCTGGACTTTAGAGATTCTGACTTGATAGGACTAGGGTGGAGATCAGAGATCTGCATTTTTCATAAGAAATAATAAAAATGGGCCGGACGCGGTGGCTCAAGCCTGTAATCCCAGCACTTTGGGAGGCCGAGGCGGCTGGATCGCAAGGTCAAGGGATCGAGACCATCCTGGTCAACATGGTGAAACCCCGTCTCTACTAAAAATACAAAAAATTAGCTGGGCATGGTGGCATGTGCCTGTAATCCCAGCTACTCAGGAGGCTGAGGCAGGAGAATTGCCTGAACCCAGGAGGCGGAGGTTGCGGTGAGCCGAGATCGCGCCATTGCACTCCAGCCTGGGTAACGAGCGAAACTCCGTCTCAAAAAAAAAAAAAAAAAAGAAATAATAAAAATGATATCTAAGTTCCCTTTCATCTATTACATTCTGTGCTATGGTGTGATCCTTAACACACCAAAGATGTCTTGAATAATAGACAAATAAAATCTTTCTTTTTATTTGCATTTTTCTACTTTATTCCTCAGCCTGAAGCACCGTGGATTCATAAGCTGCTTTAAAGAACAACTGAGCGCTTGGTTTCACAGAACGGCCTTACTACAGTAAGCACCAGCTACTGTCAAACGAGCACTTCTACCTCTGTGGAACTGAAATAAAAACAAGCCTTCCATGAGTATCAAGAGCTGCTTTTTTTTTGGCATATAATTTATAGACGTGATTTATAGACATGTTTCTTTTTTAAATGTATCAAATGTCTCAATTATTCAGACCAAAGTAATGTAGCATTTTACCTCATGTTCTGAAGCTTCAGTCTGGAAACCACTTCTAAATTTGGGTTCAAATGTACTCCCCTTCAACACTTTTATAATATTTCATTAAACTTCTCTTTAACTTAGCATTCAAACTAAAAGTAAACAGAGAATGAAGGGGAGGAACCAGATCTTCCACACCCTGAAGAGAAATAGAGAACTATATATAGATAGTAACACCTGACAAAAATTTTTTGTTTGATCAAATTTCAATCATGCTCCTGAACCATCCCCTAGGCCTATCTAAGCATTTCCCTTATAAAATCCGTGTTAGCAAAAAAGCTGCTTAATCAGTTTAGCAAGAGTATTACACCCTTAATAGCTGATTCTTCAATATATGATCAGGTTTCTCATCCTCCACCATCCTCCAGGAGATTTCTCAACACCCTGGAATCCTGTTAAGTCAGTATAGCCAGAATCCTCCCTTATCTGCAATGTTATCTCTCAGTAATTTTCCATCCACTGACTGACACCCTGCTCTTTGGCTATAAATTCCTATTTTCTCATGCTACATTCATAGTTGAGCCCAATCTCTCTTCTCCAAGGAAACACCCCATTCCCATGGTTCCTATACCTATTATGATAGCTCCCCTTTGAAGAAAGTCTGCTTACATCTTCAATGAGTGTCAGTGAATACTTTTTCTTTAATACCTTATCCCCTCCACACACATATATAATTCTAAACCTAATTATTTACTTTTACTTCTTTTTCTAATTTTATTTATTTATTTAATGATAAACTGCAAATGTTCATGAGATAATAACACACATTTCTCAATCACTTTACATATTTCTGTGAATATGCATGTCACATTATTTCCTGAGAGCAGGATACTGGTGTGGAAGGAAAGAGAGAGAAATAGAGAGAGATAAGTATGAAGGCCTCCTTCATTTCACCCAGTCTGCTTTCTGCCTTTTGGTTATAATCTTGACTTCAGTTTGCTCTCAGAAATGACAACATTTCAGATCCAATTCTTAAAGAGGTGTTATTTATCTAAACCATATAATAACTTTACATATATCTACATGACATATATTTTTAAAAGTTACAAGAAAAGTTTAGAAACAATCCAATTAGCTCTCAATAAATGATTAAATGATTTGCTGAATATATAATAGTACTTAAACACAATGGAATGCTGTGTGAATGTGAAAAAGAATGAAAAAGCTCTCTACGTAGTGTCCTGGGAAGTGCTTCAATATAAATTTAAGTGAAAAAAATCAAGGTGCAAAAGAGAAGATATGCTATGTTATTTATAGTGTTTTTAAGAGTAGGGAAGGGCTGACATATATTTGCATTTGCCTATGTTTGCGTAAAGAGACTGTGGTAGGATGCAAAATAAAATAATAAAAGTGGTTACCCATAAGGGAGGGGTGGTATTTGGAGAAATAATAGGTTAGAGAAAGAGATGAAGTTTAAGTCTACCACTAATATTCAGCCAGTACACATTGAATGAGCCATAATGGTTGAAAACATACAACCATATTTCTAAATCAGTTGGTAAATGGCAGCTACACTGTTCACCACCCCTTCCCCTGACACCTTGAATGCTGCCCAGCCTTCTCTCCTGGAACATCAGGGATATTCCAGGAAGGACATAATTACAAGTATAGGATATAATTACAAGTATAAAAGACTTATTTGGTGAAAGACTTGTGAAAGATAAAAGGAGAGACAGCAGAAGTAGGCAAGAAGAGACTGTAGACTGCCATGCAAGTGGGCATCCATGGAAGAAGAAAGGAAACAAAAGAGCCTCAGCTGTATTGCAGCTCAGGGAAAATCTCAGCCAGGTCAATGAAAAGCCCAGAGCAAAGACTGCTCTTTAGAGGAACCCATGTTAGGCAGAAATACCCAGGCCTTAGTACTCTCACGGTGCTTTATTACTGTCTTGGAAAAGTCCAATGAGAGTGTAGCTGCAGCTTGAATACTAGTGATTCTCTAATGAGCAGAGGCTGTCAGCTAACGCTACTCAGAAAAATCTCCCCTGAAGTGCGCAGCAATTTCCCTTGACCATCACAGCACAAATCTATTTCTTTATCCATATTCACTCCTCAAAAGTTCTATGGGCTTTTCCTCCTTAGGAAAATCTTAAAAGAGGAAGGGTAGAGGAAAAACCACAGTCCTTATCCCTCCAGTTGATCTTAAAGCCACAGCTGGTCTTCCTCCTTGTACATTGTTCATCCTAAATTCCTCTCATTCTCCTATGTGTCTTGGTGTCTTACCTGGTGTTATAATCTGAAATTTCATTTCTGAAGGGTCTGAACCCTTAGTAATTGCAATCTTCTCAGGCTCCATTCATAGTTAAAATTGGGCAAGGGATTTCAAAGAGAAGCCCAAATGGATCTTGTGGCTTCTGCCAATATTCTTTCCTTACCACGTTGCAAAAAGCAACTCTACCTCCCCTCTGCTTATCAGATTAAATTACCCTTCTTAAAATGGTGATTCTTTTCAACATGTTGTTTCTAGTATAAGGAGTAAAAAGTTCTCTAGCAACAGTTGTAACTTGTCCTTCAATGGGACTCTTGCTATGTCCCTTGGCAAGCTTTATGTCCCTCTTTTGGGATAAGGACTTATAACTATGTAGAGCCTAGAGCTGCTGTGACCAGAAGCACATGGGCTCCTAGTGAGTCATTTTGAGAGTGATGGCAAGTGGGGCCACTCTTAATTCTATCTTTCGTGGCATATGTGTTTTTCCTATTGAGGATAAAACACCATTTATAAATACCTGTTTTAATTTTTATACTGCATCTTACAGATGGAGCTTCATCTTGCAGAGTATTGCATTCGAGCTAATACTTCCTCATTGTGACTTCAGTAGGTCATTCAAGCTCTCTGTGAGGTCAGTTGCTTCTGAATGGCACAGTATGTAGTATGACCATGTACTCCATGATCATGGGGCCCATTTACATACCTCCCTTACAGCTTAATCCCCTGGTCAGATGCTATTCTTCCTCAAGGCTACCCCTGATTTTAGGTGTAAGGTAAGTGCTGTTCATTTTCAGCTAGAACTCACATACTCAGCCAAAATATTTATAAATCAAGCTCAGGCATTTTTTTTCCTCCATCAGATAGCCATAGGTATAAGTTAAAGAAGGATGCTGGAGCAAGCATAGTGGATGATATGGAGGTCTGTGGTACCTGCTCACGAAGCTCACTTATACCCTCTGGTCCTACTCAGACATGATCCCAGAGTTACCATATTATACTTTTGGATACCTTTACAGCAGCACCACACTCTCAGTACCAATTTACTGTATTAGTCTGTTCTCACATTGCTAATAAAGACATACCAGAGACTGGGTAATTTATAAAGGAAAGAGGTTTAATGGACTCACAGTTTCATATGGCTAGGGCAACTTCACAATTACGGCCAAAGACGAAGGAAGAACAAAGGGACATCTTACATGGTGGCAGGCAAGAGAGCTTGTGCAGGGGAACTCCCATTTATAAAACCATCAGATCTCTTGAAACTTATCCACTATCACCAGAACAGCATAAGAAGGACCTGCACTATTATTCAATTAACTCCCACCGGATCTTTCTCATGACACTTGGGAATTATGGGAGCTAAAATTCAAGTTGAGATTTGGGTAGGGACACAGCCAAACCATATCAACAAATAATGAGCACAGTGTCTGATAGGTAGTTTTTCAATCTTCATCCTCCCACCACTTCCACTCTCAAGTACTCCTCAATGTTTGTTGTCTGTTGTTGTCTTCTTTGTGTCCATATACTTGATGTTTATCTCCCACTTATAAGTGAGAACATGCAGTATTTAGTTCTCTATTCTCGTTTAGTTCACTTATAATAATGGCCACCAGCTCTACCATCTTGTTGCAAAGAACATGATCCCTTTCTTTTGTATGGCTGTGTAGTGTTCCGTGGGGTATATTATCACATATTTTATATCCAGTCTACTGTTGATGGACATTTAGGTTCATTTCATATCTTTGCTAGTGTAAATAGTGCTGTGATTAACAGAGGCATGCATGTGTATTTATGGTAGAATGATTTATATTTCTGTGGGCATATATACCCAATAATTGGAATGCTGATTTGAAAGGTAGTTATGTTTTGAGTTCTTTGTGGAATCACAACAATACTTTCCACAAAGGCTGAACAAATTTACACTTCCATCAGTTGTGTAAAAGTGTTCCTTTTCTCTGCAACTTTGCCAGTATCTGTTATTGTTTTGGCTTTTTAATAATGTCTATTCTGGCTCGTGTGAGATAATATCTCATTTTGGTTTAAATTTGCATTACTCTAATGATTAGTGATATTGAGAATTTATTCATATTTTTGTCAGCTGCATGTATGTCTTCTTTAGAGAAATGTCTGCTCAAGTCTTTTGCCCACATTTTAATGGGGCTGATTGGTTTTGCTTGTAAATTTGTTTAAGTTCTTTATAGATTCTGAATGTTAGACTTTTGTTGGATGCATAATTTGCAAATATTTTCTCCTGTTCTGTAGGTTGTCTGTTTATTCTGTTGACAGTGTCTTTTGCCATGAGAAAACTCTTTAATTAGGTTGCATCTGTCAATTTCTGTTTTTGTTGCAATCGCTTTTGATATCTTCATTGGTGAAATCATTGACAGTTCCTATATTCAAAATGGTATTTACTAGGTTATCTTTCAGAATTTTTGTACTTTATATTTTGCATGTAAATCTTTAATACAGCTTGAGATGATTTTTGTATATGATGTAGGAAGGAGTTCAGTTTCAATCTTCTACATGTGGCCAGTCAGTTACCTGAGAATCATTTATTGAATAGGGAGTCTTTTCCCACTGCTTATTCTCCTCAACTTTGACAAAGATCAAATGACTGTAGGTGTGCAGGATTATTTCTGTACTCTCTGTTCTGTTC